TTTAGCGAGGTGAGTTGCAGGCCAAAAAGCACCGACATGCCAGTGGGCTCCCATGGAGGGCTGACCTTGGTGCACCAGAAGTGGGAGACTGCTCCAAGAAGAAGGATCAAGGCTGGTGAGAACAAACAGAAATAACTTCTCCTCCCCTTCTTTACACATCCTAAGTGCTTTCCAAACATGAATTAAATGGGAAGCGCAAGGGCAAAAGGAGATGAATTTAAACAAACCAAACAAGGGGAACGCCACAGACACAAGAACGAGATTTGTGAAGCTCAGCACAGAAAAAGGTGCAGTCTGGCTTATTAATAATAAAAAAAGGGGTATGTGTTGAATGCATTCCTCTCCTACTCGCATGAATACTCACAGCTTATGAATACCTCGGGTGCTACTCACTGCTCTGAGAAGCTACAAGCAGAGACACATTGCATATTGATGTCCCCACTGCTCGGAGTTGTTCACAGCCACCCCATAAAAGATAACGTGGGAGCTGGAGCTTAGGAGAATCCAAAGAAAGAAGAGGGACATCAGCTAAAGCAAGAGCTTCACTTCACCTGCTGAGACCACCTTCAGCTTCCTCTGCCCCTTTACGCACTCCAAAGAGCTGCCCATGTTCCACTGCCCCGAACCTGTGTCAGGTTAAACCCAACAGAGGCCAAGCAAAAGGAGGCCAACAGTATTTACCTGGGAGAAAGCATACAAGTAATGCACTCAGTGAGACCTGCTGGCATCTGAAGGGCTCCAGAGAGGCTGCATTTCTTGGTCATCCTTTTGGAGGATGATGCACACAAGGAATCCCTAGTAAAAATCCCAGTGCTGAGCAGTGCACATGTTAACTGTTCATACCAAGCTCCTTCCTTTCCTCAGTGCTTCTCAGTAACACATAAATGCATGAAAGAACTTCAACTTAAGCTGCTCAATTTGAGTTTTTCTAAGGGTATTAGGTCCAACCTGTCGTTCTTTCTATCCAAACACTTCAGTACAAAAGCACCTTAAGACAGTTGAGGCAAGACCCACTTCCTGTGGAACAATCCCAAATTACATGGATAAGGTGTAAAATTACTCCAACAAGTCAGAGGTCAACCACTTCTACTAGGTAATACCTGGATAGTCACAGCGTACAAGCAGGGGTGGAATGGAATGTCTGTATCACCAGCTCCAAGATCCTGCCATCACACACAGGCACACAAGGAACAGTCAGTTCAAAAGATCTATTCCCTGTAATTTTCCTGATTACACAGGAAAAACACAGAAGGAAAACAGAAACACAGAAGCGATCCAAGAGACTGAAACACACAACTACAGTGATCAAAGCGATGAAGACCAAGGGCATCACCAGTGCCTGCTGATCCTCCGCAAGGAATTTATCCCATACACATGCCCTCATCTGATGCTCATCCCTGGACCTCCCCTTTTGGTCACAGTCAGGACCCCGACACTGAACTAGATGGATCTTCAGTGTGACACAGCACTGCTGCAACCACCTTCCAATGCTTTGGTAGATCACAGACTGGTTTGGGCTGGAAAAGACCTTAAAGCTCATCCAGTTCCAACCCCCTGCCATGAGGGGGGAGATGCAGAGCAAACCCCACAAGCTGAAACGCTGACATTCTTCTTCATACCTGCCCTTTCCTGGGGAAACCTTAATGAGGCAGCATAGAAACAGAGTTTCCAAGCTCCATTTGAAATAAGGTACCCCCATAGTTCATCTCATGCAAAGCTAAAGGCAAAGCCTTTTTAGCATTTTTATAGCTTTACTGTTTCATAACACTTTGCCCTCTCATTATAAGCTATTCCATCACATAGATGGAATAACTGAGATAGATGGACTAAGCAATTGTTTCAAACTCCCAGAAGAGAAGTTGCTATTAGAAAATGAGCAGGTTTTTGCTTCCAATTCCATGCTCTGTCCAGTAGATTATAGCACTCTGAAAGAGATTACCCAATACAAGGATAATGTATTCACACAATGTGCTGCAGTCAAGGGAAGTACCGAGTTCAATTCTGGCCAATCCATCTCAAAAGACAGAGCCACAGGGGGAAAGGGCCTGAAGACAAACAAGTGGAATGAGAAACCTGGAACAAACTCATTCACACAAGCAGAGGCTGAAAGGTAAGGACTGCTCTGCTTAATGGAAGGTAGAAGAGGGGACAGGAGTCTACAGATAATGAATAAGGAAAAGGATTCCTTTTATCTCTTCCACATAAAGGATATTAAATGGGGGGTGAAAGAGTATTTGAAACCAGTGACAGAGAATATACAGAGTGGATAAGTTAACCTGTGGCACAGGCTGCCACGTGATGTTGGAAGGGAAGAGCTAACCAAGGCTTCATGAAAGCTGCCTGAGACATGGAGAGGAGCAATGGCAGGAATCCAAGCTCCATTACAGTGAATAAGAATACTGAATGAAAACAACCCCTTCTGCAGCAGGACGTGTGGCAGCCCCCAAGTGACAACATGCACCAGGCTCTTCTCTAAGCTCTTCTCCCAAAGTTTGGTGGTTTGTTTGTTTGTTTTTTTTGGGTGGGGGGGGGTGCTGCTTTGCTGAGGGTTTTGTTCTGCATCTTCCTTCCATGTCTGAACAGGGACCACTGGCAGAAGCAACAGGCCAGGCTCCGTGTTGGATTCAGGGCAGCAGCCACTGCAATGTAAGGAGTGCATAACACAACTGCTCTCAGCATCCTATTGGGAAAGTACCGAGTTCTCAACGTCAACAGTTCAAACCCAAACCCCAGCTCCTACTGCTGAATTCTGTTCTCATGCACAAGTGGGGACAAAGCCAACGTGAGCGTATAGACACAGCAGGGGAGGGGAGGAGGGAATTCCTGACAGCCTGATCCTTAAGAAGAGATACTTTAGCTTTCCAGGTCCACATTCATTCACCCCCAGCCCAACACCTCTGAACTACCAGCAACCATGCTTCAAGTGACCATCCCCTCCGAGAGCAGGGAAAGCACTCAGAACTCCCCACCGCAGCCCCTTACCCACAGCTTCTGATACACACACACATACATAAAACTCTCCCTGAGTTGGAAGGTTTTAGCAGAGTGGAAGGGAAAATAAATAAATAAGTGTCAAGGTCTGCGTGTATTCACCAAATAAAGGCAGGATTATAGAAAGGCAACAGCTAATAAAGAAGATTGTTCTGCGCTCTGGTTTGCTTCTTCCCAACCATTACAGGAATAAAATTATCCACAGAGAAGATCAAAACCCTTTTTCAAAACTAATACAATTAAGCTTTATTACACTGTTCCAAGCACATTCCTCTCCCTCCTAGCCCCCACCTCCTCCCACTCCCATCCACACGAACGGTTGGAGGCATTCTTCTATTTTATTACCAGCAAAACGCTCGTGTTTAAGGGTCAGAAACTGCCTCAGTGTTTCAGGAGAGGAAAGAAAACCCGTCCTTTTTACCTCCTTGTACACAAAAGAACTAGGAGATAGTTTCTATGCAACTCTGCAGCTTGAATAGGACTGTGGGCAAAGCGCCCTGCTCCCTGAGAAGATGCTGCACTACAAATATCCATCACCTTGTTGCCAAAGTTGCCCTGTAGCAAAGGACAGAGACCTGAAAAGGGGAACAACACCCAACAAAAGCCTTCAAGAACGGGACAATGCAGCCTGGACACTGACTTCTTCCCACTTCACTGGCCACAAAGGACTGACACACACAGATTGGATTTTCCCTGCCGCTTCCGCTTTGCGAAGCCAGATCCAGAGAGAATATAATGGGAGCACACAGCATGGGAGCAAGGAATTGCAAAAATTCCCTTTGCGTATGAACATATGGACAACTGTGATAATTAGGAGGAGAGCTGCTAGACTGCTTGCAATTCCCCTCAACAATCCCCATTATCTACAAATAGCACTTACAAATCTGAGTGCAACACCGAGCGGGAGCTTTAATAAAGTAGGCTTTTTAATGAACTCGATGGATTTAAAGTGTTGCACGAGTGTATCACGTGAAACTCCTCATGGGCATGTTTTACCATCAATGGCTTCAAAAGCTGCATGGACAATCGTGCAGGAGCAGGGAATGAAAAGGGGAAGAGATGGACCAATAGTTTCCTGCCACTTCTATAAGCTGCCGCTTTCCCATCTTCCCTATTCACCGTCACACTGGTAGTAAAGCAGATTGATTTCGCTCTCTTCATCCCACCTTCCCCATTGTTTGCATTCCTCTTCTAGCACCTACCACAACTCCAAGGCGGATGCTTGCACCCCCCCGTCAGGAGGTCTAATTGCTTCAACTCAGAGAAGGTAATTCTCCACATTTATTAAAAACTAAAGACTACTTATCCCATTACTCCACGTTGCCAGGAAGGGAAAACACATTAACCGGTGAGGAGCAGCGCGCCTGCTCCTGGTTTTATAGCATCAATTTTTAAAACCTCATCATGGTAAACAATTAAAGAAAGAAGCAAATCCCACGTTTCGGGGAGATAGGCAAATCCCTAAATGGATTTTCAAAGGTCATTGCAGGCTTAAAAGATGCTTGACAGGGTCTCTTTAAATGGGGTTCATTTGAAAGGCTTATCCAGCGAGAAGCAGGCAGAGCGCTGCAGCAGCGCTCTGTGAACTGGTGGGCTCCCCAGGGGGAAATTAATAATACAACTTTAATTCATCTTTATAGCAAAATTACGGGGGGGGCAGCAGTGTTGGAAAGGATTTCGAACAAAAGGCATAAAAACCAGAAGATTTGAGGTTATTTTTTCCTTCAAATTAACATTCACCTCAACCCCATGGTGAAAAGGAAAATAAAGTTGGAACTCGGAGAAATCTTCCTTTTTAAATCACAGTTAAAGCTCATCTCTCAAATGCAGGTGGCTCAGATTTGCTCTCAGCACTGCACCAAGGAGTAAGGGGCAGACACACACTGCCAAGTGACAGCTCCAGGTTTCAGCACAAAGCTCCTTGTTTCTCTGCCCTTTGGACCCACACAAACCCGTGCTTGATGCTGTTGGAACACCGAGGGCACAAATCAAGGACAAGCTGACCGTACCTTCCTCTCAATGCGGGCCAGCTGCTCCTTGTAGAAGGCCTCTTGTCGCTTCATCTCGGCCTCCCTGCCTTGCAGCTCAGCCTCCTGGGAAGAACAACAGAAGAGCATTGGAAGAACCACCAAAGAGCATCACTAAAAGAAGAAATAGCAAGTGTGAGTGCAGGGAAAGCGCACGGGGTGCAGGCTGGGACTGAACACAATCACTGCTCAGGACTGGTGCATGGGATCCCTGCTGGTGGAACTGCAAACCTTCAGCCCTGCAGTTCAGTTTGGATTATCCCCACAAGCTTGAGACATCCTTACTAGTATCAAACTCATAACCTTGACTTCTCCTTATTAAATGAAAACTCACAATCGCAAGAAGGTGACACCTTCCTATTGCCTTTCCCAGAACTCCACCTTATGCAAGTCTTTTGTTTTTCATGAATGATGATGTTCATTAATCCAATGTTCTTTACCTTACCTTAAAAATCACCCTCAAACCCTCCACTTGATAAACACTTTTCCCTTGGAACATCAGGAAACTTCTACAGATTCAGCACATCCCTACAGTTATGAGGAAGATCCAAAACCCAAGGCTCTGCTGTAATGTCTTTATCACAACAGACATTCTCAGCGACCTTGAGCTTCCAGACATCAACAGCATTACCCTGATAACCAAGGGCTCTCCCCACATGCTCTCTGCACACCCCACCAGCACCCCGAGCCCCTCTGGCTGGGTGCTGCAGATCTGGAGGGGAGATGGATGTCACAGAATTCCTCTTCTATCTTCCAAAGGCTGAGTGCGACCCTCCCAAACCAGCACATTAAGGATACAAGCTCGTGCTTAAGCATAACCCAGCCATCAAATACACAGTGCTCAATTAAAAACCAAAGTCTGTGCGGTTACAGCAACAGCTTTTGCCTTTTAGATCTTTACAACCAGCAGCACTTCCTTCCTTCCATTCCCGCCCCTGAACATAAGCAGCATTAAGAAAACGTGGCATAGATGGAACTGAACCAAACTTCTGAAGTTTAAAACTAACAAGCAACAGCAGCAAGAAGAATGGCACTGGCTTTTCTTCCCCATCCCACCCCAAAATTCCTGGGGCCATATAAGCTAGCACCAGGCAGAAAACCTTTCAAACCCAGCATTATGAGCCCATTTAACAGGAGCACAAACCCTGCTCATCTGCAGCATCCTAGCAGCATTGCTCTTCACTTTTAATGATGATGGTACAGCACAGAAAATGCTGGTCCAATATCATTAAGCAGCCAGGACAGAAACATCCCCGTGGGCTCAGACCTGTCATTTTATGGCCAAAAGCCATTGTTAATGAGAAAAATTACATCTGAAAGCAAGTTGCTGTGCTTTGCCTTCCTTCTGCTCCCCTGCTGATGGAAATGCAGTGGTATAATAGGGCTTAGCAGAGATTTTAAGCTAGGCAGTGGAGGATGGTGGATAAATAAGCAAGGAAAGGACCATGTGAAATAAAGGGCTTGTGGTGGTGTCTGTTTGCTTGCTTTTAAAGGAAAAAGAAATGTTTTGGTGCCTATGTTCGCCATGCCAGGCAGCAGGGCCAAGTAAGGCACAAGCACCACAGACTCGTATCGAAACCCTTGTGCTCTCAAAGGCTCTTGATTATAGGCAATATCTCTGCCTTTAGTTTAATCAGAGCTGTATCTTCCATCCTGCAAACCAGCCAAAATGGGATGGGGAGAGGGATGAGAATGAGCTGCCCCACACATGTAACCTGACCAAGGAGATGCCTGATGAGCATCTGAAGTGCCAAAACGACGACCCTTTTCTGCTAAGAGAACCATAGCTGTCCTTGTGAACCAACATCCCTCTTCTGTACAGAAAAGGACTAAGCAAGTTCAAACTGAAATGAAACAGATGGGAGGTGTCAGGGTGGGCTGGAGGATGCCCAAAGGACCCTGGTTCTCCTGCGTAACACCCATACACTCAAATTACTCTACAAGTGATTTGCGTTTCCTAAAGAAGACATACGGAAAAGAAAGAAAAGAAACATAGTGCCCCCTCTGCAAAATTCAGAAGGTGCTATTTAGTGTGAAATACAAGGGAAAGAGTCAAAAAATGAACCCTTAAAAATGCAAGGAAGTTTCTGATTCATCTAAATAAGTGAATGATGGGGCAGTGCTGGTCTCCTGGGGTAGCAGGCTATTTGGGGAGCACAAAACCCACATGTGCAACCATTCTGGTGGGCAAGAGGCTTTGCTCTATTTCTGACAAGACATGGATCCATGTACCCGCAGCCCCACTCATCTCTTCAACCTCTGAGCTTGCCTGACCTCACTCACCAAGAAACTCAGCATATTTGTCCCTATGACACCTCCGGAAGGGATCACAAAGCAAACACCTCACCTCTCAAGCAGGACACGCAAGAGACGTGCTGCAGTGCATGGTGAGGAGCCAGGGCCTCCCAAGCAGAGCTGACTGAGCTGGGATGCTCACAGTGAAGGATGCCTCCACAGCAGCACACCCTGCAGCAGGCACATTCTGTAGTGATTTCTTCCCTTGGGGCTTGCAAAAGTGATGGCAAAGAATCAAAACTGGATCTCTCAACTGCAGACCACAACCTCATATACCCCTCATCTCCCCCCACTAAGTAACTGCTCTGTATTACCTCCTGTTATGTCCCACTTACCACCCGTATAAGCTGTATGATGAGCCAGAGGTTGCAGAGAAAACTTTTACCACTCAAACATATTTTCCATGCTTTGCTTGCTTTTAAGAGCTGCTGATGTTTCAGTGCATTGAAATCTACTGAGAAACATCCCATTTGTGACAGATCTGCTTGAAAGTAACTTTCTGCCTCCCTCTGTTCCAGCTGTTATTACTAGAAACTTTAGTGCACTCTCTGATGATGTTTGAAGTGTGAATGGTACAGTCAGAGCATGTGTCATTTGAAACATTCACTGTTCCAAACTGGGTTAGGCAACAAGGGACGTGCAAGAAGCATGTGTGTATGAATACAGGATATTTATTATGGGTTCCTCTTGTCCTGCTGCTTATTCCCTACCTGAAGTCAGAAGCCTGTGATGTCCCAGACAGAGCTGCCAGCTATGGAGATGATGACAGTTTCAGAGGGGACTGAGACTGCAGGTGTCAAACAAAGCATCAGACACACTTCTCACATAAAGGCCTTTAGAATGGAAGGAGGAAGGAGAAGGGAAGACATGCATGCTAACACATTGGACTGGATATCAGGTATCACAAAGCTGCATTTCACATCCATGCTGCAGAAGCTACATCTGAGCTTGAACACGTCAGGCAAGAGATGACCAAAGCCCAGAGATGACATCTAAAACTGGATTGTAGAACACAGAGTGTGTGACAGTCTATGAAATGAAGACAGAAACAAAGCAGGGAGGGGAGGAAGAGCGTACTGTGCTGTGGAACGCACAGGTTGCAACCAAAACTTGGAAAAGCAGCATGGGACAGCATGGATGTGCAGAAGAATCACAGCATCATCACAGAATCCCAGCCTGGTTTGGGTTGAAGGGACCTTAAAGCTCATCCAGTTCCAACCACGGGCAGGGACCCCTTCCACTAGAGCAGCTTGCTCCAAGCCCCTGTGTCCAACCTGCCCTTGAACACTGCCAGGGATGGGGCAGCCACAGCTTCTCTGGGCACCCTCACAGGGAAGAGCTTCTGCCTAATGCCTAATCCAAATCTACCTTTTTTCAACCCGGGGCCAGCACAAGCAGTTGTTCTCTGTACAAAAAAAGCAGGTATAAGATAGAGTCATGCAAATACTCAAGAATTCCCTTGGTATCAGACGTTACAAGCGCTGCATTCGTACCAGAGGACGCTGAAGGTACACATCCAGCATGCTACTACAGCTTCCACAGACATGGGCCCAGGGACTGGTTGGGGGCTGGTTCAAACTCTTCCTCTGTTTTATCTTTACACTTTTTACCACAGCCCCAACTCCTCCTGGTTATCTCAGAGCTGCTCTGAAGGGTGACAAAGAGCTGGGGCAAAGCCATGTGCGATTCTCTGCCTCCTCCTCGCCCCTTTATCAAGTAACCCATTTAGAAGCAAACTGTGAAAGCACATTGCTGAAGCTGTGCATTACATCCTGCCCCAACTGAGGAATTCCAGCCCTGGCCTGGGAGCTGACAGGCAGCCCTAAAGGAATCTTTTACCAGCCTCTTCATTGAGGTAACGCAGTACTATTGGTTCATTCTGAACAAGCAAAGCCACGTCCTGAGCTGACACCAAAACATGCAACACATCAGAGTGTGCAACTGAGCCCCTGGCGTTGGGCTCTGCTCGAGCTGCAGCCATTCACAGCCCAGCTTTGGCTTTGCCTCCCATAAAATAGCACCAGATCTTTATTATTTTTAATCACAGCCCCTTCCCATCACCTCGTTACACAGGAAAACCAGGACGGAAATCTGCTTGGGATAAAAAAAATAGGGCTTCTTAGCAGGGTCAGATGACAGTAGGGAATGCGGCACCCAGAAATAAAGTGCAGCAACAGCACAGCCCACAGCTGATGGCGACCATCAGGCTGTCTCTCCCTGCAATCCTGTTGGGATTCTGGGATTTGGGGAGAGGGCACGGAGAAGACTGCACTGGAGGACAAAACCTCACCCCTCCCTGCAAAGGGCAGGGGGAGCTGGAAGAGAAGGTCCATACCTCGATGTCTACAGAACTTCCTCAAAGGCAAGTCACAGCACTTGGCAAATTAGTGCACAAATATTTATCTTCTTGGCAAAACACATTCACCAGGCACAGATGAAGGAGTGAGATGTCGCCTAGAGACTCAGGCGGAGGCAATCCAGGGAAAGAAGCCACAAGGATAAAGGAAAGGTCCTTAAGCCTCTATCAACTGCCTTGTTGCTACATCCTCCTCTCTTTGCTAGGAGGAGTTATCAGCTCCCCCCCGAGGTAGCAGCCCCATCCCTGCAGCAGCCCAGCAGAGATGTTCTGGCTGGGTACCTCAGCTTGCCACACTTCACAACTGCAAATTCTCCTATCTCATGCTTTCCTGTGTCTCTTCCAGTCCTGGTAACAGTCCAGGTGGCAAGGGAGAAAACAACTGCTATTAAAGGCTCCAAGAGTAGAGGAAGGAACTGACAGCAATTCACTACAGAACAGAACTAGCTCCAAAATTAGCTGCCTGGCGTGTTCCTGACCAAGCCCAAAGGGAACAGCAGAGCTGAAAGGACAACACTGAAACAGCGATGGCAGCTTGTGCACATCATGCCCGAGACTGAACAGCAGAGCTTTACAGGGAGCTTGTAGCAGACAAGTTCCTAAGAGCTCATCTCAATCTCCCCCCCTCTGTCAATTTAAAGCCATTCCCCTTGCCCTGTCTCTACATGTCCTTGTCAAAAACCCTTCTCCAGGCTTCTTGTAGCTCCTTTAGGTACAGGAGGCTGTTACAAGGAGGCCTACAAGAAATGTGCAGAAGGACTTTGTCCTTTTCTCATCCTGTTGAAGGCAAATGACTAGGGTTTGTTTCAGTTTAGAACCCAAATGCAGACTCGTGGCCTTCAAAAGCAGCCCTGGTGTAACCATTCCCATCTCCTGATGGTGCTGCTCTCCCAGCCAACATCACACATCACAGGATCAAGTTTGGTTTCAGCAGCTGTAAGCTACACAAAAGGAGCCAGTGAAAATCTTTATGGAGGAAATAATATGCAATTTTCTAGCTGAACACCTTTTAAAATGTAATGACAGAAAATAAAATCCTGCATCTGCGCTGAGCAATAACAATCTGTACAGGCGCAGTAACAACATGACACTTGGAATAAGCAAGACCCAGACACAAAAAAGAGAGCTTACCCAGGCGTCCAAATCCGCAGGCTTGGAATAAAGAGAGCGCAGGAGAGAAAGGAAGGGAAAGAGAAGAAAAAGAGGCATCAGTGATTTATGGAGGCCGCCTGCTGCTGCACAATACAGCTTTTAGGATGATAAGTTTAGGAAAGTTCCTTAAAAATGACAGCATCTTCAGCAGTGCAGCGCTGTCCCCTGTTGGGAACTGTGCTGTTAAAGCAAACAACGGCACATGTGCCCCAAAACCAAAGCAAAGCCCCCCCCAAGACTGCTGCAGGATCCCCTGTAGGGTGAAAGCTAAGTGAAGGCAGAGGGGGAGCAGCAGGCTGCAGTCACGCAAGGTGCTGCACAACGTTAGAGGGGATGCTGAGAGCCACAACATGCACTGATGCCCAGGGCAGTGCTGGGTGTACTCAAAAGGAGGCGGCCATCAAGTGCTCTGCTGCAAACCACCTGCAAAGAAAAGGCATCCTTTGGCAAGGGTGTTACAGAATACATGACCTGACCTACACATCCAGTCATCTGCTGCCCTGGATTACTTCTGAGAGCGCTTCCTAATAGAAAGCCACCTGACTGACCAGATTTCCAACCAGGTCCCCCCTTCCTGGGCATCTTTAGCGCACAATCCAAATCTCTGCCAAACACAAGCTGCCTTCATCTCCTCCTCTTCTTGTCATCAAGCCTAGCAGAGTATGAGGACCAGGAGATGAAGCAGGCTGCAGTGTCACTGCTTGTTCACTTATTACTACTTTGGACTTACACAGTAACCCAGCAGCAGCAAAGCAACTACAAGATGATGAACACTTCACACCCATAACCACCTCCTCCTGAAGCCAAGGCAGTTACAAGGCAGCCAGAGCCCTGTTTGTTGCCAAGGGCTGCAGCCTTCGCTGCCTCTCAGGGCTGTGCTTGACAGCAGCACATTGGCCAAGCAGGAACCTCAGAAACTGGCCTCTTATTGTGATTATTTATTTGAGGGGGAGTTGACAGAGCAGGAGGAACTTTCCTCTTGGTCATAGTTCAGTGCCAGAGGGAGCAGTCGCTGGAGTGCAACATGTTTATGGGATCTGCCATCACTTTAATGGCACAGAGCGGCTGCTCCAGGTAGCTGAGGGATGAGGTGGCATCAGCCATGTGTGTCATCCATCCTCATCCCTTACAACAGCTGAGAGGGCTCCAACTGAACATCTACAGTTCAGGCAGGGGAAACCAAGTCTCCCCTTTCTGCAGGCAGGGTTGATTTAGCAGCATCAAGTCCCTGGCCAAAGCCATACACAACAGGTTTGCACCAGGAATCACTGCCCCCGTTTGACAAAAGCCTGCTTTGAATACCATTTCTCTTCCTGCTGGTTTTTACAGGCAGGACAGATGCGCTTAGCTTTGGTGTTCCATTTTAGCAGCTGCAGGGCTGTCCATCCTCAGCAGATGGGCAGGAGGAACACGGGCTCTTTATGGCACACAGCACTATTTCAGCAGGTAGGTCATGCGCACCGGGAGCTCTTTACTGGACACACATCTGTCATCCCTGGGGTACCCAAACCATTACCCGTCGCATTCCTGCTGGATAAATGCTTGCAGGGCAAAATGAACACAAGGCACTCACTCAGTGGCACTGGGCAGTCACTGAGAGCAGGGAGAAGGCATCAGCCCTACCACCAAGAGGTGGTCCCTCTTATACCCCTGTAAGATGCAATGCACAACAGCAGGATGACTGCTGTTTCACACTACTGTTACTAACCACAGCGCATCTCTCCCACAGGCACTGCCGAGGGATTTAATTCTGCCACTTTTCAGGATTGGGGGGGAAATTACTACTCCTAGACCAGTTACACTGCACTGAATGGAAGCAGGACCATTAAAATGAGTGTAGATGCAGTTGGCAAATGGATGCACTGGGGGAAAATGACTACGCTGGGAGTGAAGCACAGCCTAAATAAAACAGGGTAAGAAATACCGCTTCAAGTGTTGCTGCCTCTCCGCGTGTGCCAGGACCTCTTTGCAGACCTGGATTTACCAACAGAAGGCACAGCATGTGCACTACTACTTGCCAAGGGTAAGTAAACTGTTTAGGAAATGAGCAAGATCTGGATTCCTCGCTTCCCAACCAGGTGAGTTTCACTTCCAGCTCCCAGTAGGGAACTTGAGCATCTCATAATGCCAGCCCTGGGACACAAACCATCTTTTAGCCCTTGGTCAACAGAGCCGAACTCTGCTGCTAAACCAAGGGTTCATTTCTCACCCAGGTAACCCACAGAAGAGCCATCACAGAAAGCTGCATAGATACTGGACTTAGATACCGGACTTAACAGTTTGGAGTCAAAACCAAACCAAGATCTTCCTCTTGATGGTATCAGAGGCAAAAGGTGCTTGAAACAGGATCTCAGACCAAACCAGCATCCCCTGCCTCAGGGATTTATATGGGGGAAAAGATGACACAGTCCACTTGGAGAAGACTCCAAGCACCCTGAGAAAGGGCAGCACCTTAGTAACCTGATAGAACCAGCTTCACGCTAGATACTCATTACCTTGCCACAGTCAAGAACTCTGTCATCCAACTCCCCTGCAGCGTGACCAATGACTCAGGAACCCAGCTCGGTAGCGATCTCCTCCTTCAGAACTCAACACAGCGCATTTTTGGGGGCACTGCCAACTTTGGGAGTGGAAGCTAAGAGTGGGAGATTCGAGAAAGGAGAGGCAGCAGGTGCCCAAAACCGAACACAGCTGCTGGCACCAGCTCCTGCTCTCATGGCAGTATCTGAAGAGCTCAGCAGCACATATTCTAACATCTTGATGACCAGACTTCATCACTGAATGAGCAAAGACTCGTTTCTTCTGAAGGCAGTAATCCAGCTCTGAACTTTTCCACGGTGAGAAGAATTAAAGCATGTAAAGAATACATCGAGACACTTTGCATCCACTCCAGACCCTTAAACGCTTCCAGTTTAGTGGAAAATTGAAGCCGTATCAATATTAAATGTAATGAGAGTCAGAGATGTGACCAACTGACAAGGGAGAGGAAGCAGGAAGAGTCACTGAACAGCAATCAATCCTGAAGGAAGGCTGTGATGAAATTGCTCGGCTCTAATGTATACAGAGCACACAATTCTATCAACATGAAGATGGGAAGCAGCAGAAAAACCCTCTGCCTTTTTATGATTCAGGGACAACTGCACTCCTAATACCTACGGCATTGCCACAAATAGGTTTGCAATGCTGACAGTTGATGGTTTTCATTGAAAACAAACCAAAAAAGAAACCTATTTTATAAAATCCAGAGTGCACCATCTGCTTTCAGTGCGCGCTTTAATACTTCAGCCCATGCCCACATCTCCTTTCCCCATCACCACTTCTGCACATGCATACATACATAGAGTTTGCATTCTGTAAGCTGCCAACAGACCAGGCACTCGATGCCTATAGAAACCCTGCTGAGCGTAGGCTCTCCAGAGATGTGTGCTCAAGATGGTTCTGAGCGCAGGTGAGTCAACAACTCCCTCTCATTTTCACCTCTTTGCTTCAATTCCTGCTCTGCCCCTTCGACAGGAGGATTCCGAGCCCCTGACCAATGAAGCCCAAAAAGAGAGAAGTGAACCTCAAGAGAGAGCATCGTGAAATTCTATCCATGAAGGCCAGGTTGGATGGGGCTTGGAGCAAGCTGCTCTAGTGGAAGGTGTCCTTGCCCATGGCAGGGGTTGGAGCTTTAAGGCCCCTTCAATCCAAACCACTCTGATTCTATGAATTTCCAACCCTCCTGAGTCATATTTTCTCACAAAGCTTGAATCAAAGGCCATTCAACTCCTCTTGGATGATTTCTAGCTCATAATCATTAATACAAGCTCCCATTATGTTAGCCTAAGGGTGGCATATGGCTTTCTAGGGATAGGACAGACGGGGGGAAAATAACAGTGAAGGCATGCCTACATCCCAGCCTCATTGCTGTGCGTGCATATGGGGACAGAGATTCTCTTGCCAAACTCTTAAATACCAAATATATTAACTTCCGAGTCCAACACAGGGCTTCAAACACAACCACTGCTTTGCAAACTAAGCCCCCGAGATGACGTGCGTAATGAAGCCGTGTGCTTCCCAGCATACCAATGAGGAGCCATGGGAGTTCAGGAGGAATTCCCTTCCCACATTTGCTCCCAGACGCTCCCCGCGATTCCCTACCTGGCTCCGAACAGAACAGATATTTATAGGCAGCAGCAACGGGGAGAGGTTTAGTGCGGTGAATACAGATCTCCTGTCACGAGATTAGAAATCTGATTCGTTTGATTTAAGAAGCAGATTACCTCAAATACAGCACAGTTTAAGAGAAACTCAGTTGACTCTGGGGCTGCTTTTTAATACAGGCAAAGACTGTCTCAATTACATGCTTGAGTAAGAAAACTCCTCAAAGCCTTCAGTCATGGTCACGCATCCCCTGCCTGTCTCTGTGAATCCTCAGACTCAGGTGAGCTTTCAAGCACCACGTTCCACATCTTACCCACTCTGACAGACCTGTTCTCCTGCTCCAGCATCCCAGACACAGCAAAGCACGCTTTACACCGCGTTACAGACTTGGCTTCTTTCTGGGGGCAGGATCCAACCTACCGGTTTCCAAGATGTATGTGGGAAAGTCACGCATGCAGTGTGGATCGAGGGGATACGAAAGCCTTACAGAAAGGACCACAAAAAGCACAGGGGACTCAAAATATATCAGAAAATCACAGAATAGATTGGGTTGGAAGGGTCCTTTGAAGGCTGGTCAGGGCTAGGACAGATTCACAATCACACCAATAGTAAGGTGTTACCTATGGAGTAAAATGGAGTCAAAACATGTAGAAAGACTGATCAGACTGTCCAGGAAAGGAAAAACAACACACAGAAGTGAGGAACTTGACTGCAATCCCCCTCATTCCTGTGATCACTGCAGAGACAGGCAGTCAGCACTGAAATTCCCCACTACCAGCTCTGAAATGCACCTTGGCCCTTGCCTGCAGCATTCCCTACATCCTAAGCCACAGTCAGAGTTATGAAAAGGCTGCCAA